TGTGTGTATGCATGTATGTATGCATGTGTTTGTGTGTATGCATGTGTGTATGTGTGTGTTTGTGTGTGTGCTTGTGTGTATGCATGTGTGTGTATGCATGTGTGTGTGTGTTTGTGTGTGTGCATGTGTGTATGCATGTATTTGTGTGTATGCATATGTGTGTGTGTGTGTGCGTGTGTGTGTATGCGTGTGTTTGGAGGTACTGGGGAGGTTTCCCAGATCACTGCCCAGCTCCTGGCCCTGCTCAGTCTCGTACCCTTTCCAGCTCGGCCTATGGTGCCCAGCCCATCCGAGCCCTGCTGCCAGCCGCCAGTCCCAGCTGTCTGTTGTGGCAGATGTTTTCGACTGTGCCATAGCAACGCCAGAACAGGATGTAACTTGGATCACAGCAGGGACAAGCCCACGCGCACAGGCCACCCCTGCCCTTCCCCTCCCTGAGGGCCTGTTGGGAAAGACTGCGCAGGTCCAGGTTGGGGACAAATGGTGTTTGTTGTCTGGAGAGAGGCAGACCTCGTGTCCTCCCGGGTTGGTGGCAGGGGAGTGAGAGGACTCAGGGCAGCTCACATCCCCTGGCCCTTCCAGGAGATGTCAGGGGAGTTGCCAGGTAGGAAGGGGAGCCACCTGTCAGCAAGGCCTGGCCTGTCGGGGCTGGCCTGTGTCTTCCCCATGGTTATAGCAACTGCTCATTGAGGGAGTACTTTGTGCCACTTATGCTAAATACTTTCCACAAACAAATAATATAAAGATGGACGGGCATCTACTTCATGTTAATTACACAGTGCCAGTTTTTTTGTTTTGTTTTTAAGGAGTGAAGGTTTAACAGACAAAAAAAAAAAGAGAAAGAAGCCGGGCATGATGGCTCACGCCTATAATCTCAGCACTTTGGAAGGCCAAGGCAGGTGGATCATGAGATCAGGAGTTTGAGACTAGCCTGGCCAACATAGTGAAACCTCGTCTCTACTAAAAATACAAAAAATTAGCCAGGCGTGACACATTGCATACACAGAGACGGAAGGAGATATGGTGGTCGCTGACAGGAAAGAAGGAAATTACAGTAAAAAAGTTGGAGATCCAGCTGGGCATAGTGGCTCACGCTTGTAATCCCAGCACTTTGGGAGGCCGTGGTGGGTGATCACTTGAGGTCAGAAGACCAGCCTGACTTATATGGTGAAATACTGTCTCTACCACAAATACAAAAATTAGCCAGGCGTGATGGCATGCACCTGTAGTCCCAGCTACTCAGGAGGCTGAGACAGTAGAATTGCTTGAACCCAGGAGGCAGAGGCTGCAGTGAGCCGAGATCACACCACTGCACTCCAGCCTGGGCGACAGGGCAAGACTCTGTCTCAAAAAAAGAAAAAAATGAAAAGTTGGAGACTCTGTTGCCGATATCCCAGTGGTCAGTTGGAGGCTGGGATCAGTCCGGAAGCCTTCGGATAACACCAGGGAGTAGCCCCAGCCAGAAATCCTCAGTTGCTCCAGAACCTCTTCCAGCCCCACATGATGGCTAAGTCCTCCGTGAAAGAAAGCTGGTTCAAACATGTCCAACAAACCATGGGTGCTAGAGGGATTCTCCATGTTCTCCCTGGTAAGCCTCACATCTGAGTCTTTAAGAATGGCAGCCACTATATCCAGAATCTACAAAGAACTAAAACAAATTTACAAGAAAAAACCAACCCCATCGAAAAGTGGGTGAAGGATATGAATAGGCACTTTTCAAAAGAAGACATTTATACAGCCAACAAACATATGAAAAAATGCTCATCATCACTGGTCATTAGAGAAATGCAAATCAAAACCACATTGAGATACCATCTCACGCCAGTTAGAATGGCCATCATTAAAAAATCTGGAGACAACTTGGATGTGGCTGGAGCGAATGTGGAGAAATAGGATCACTTTCACACTGTTGGTGGGAGTATAAATCACTTCAACCATTGTGGAAGGCAGTGTGGCAATTCCTCAAGGATCTAGAAATAGAAATACCATTTGACCCAGCAATCCCATTACTGGGTATATACCCAAAAGATTATAAATCATTCTATTATAAAGACACATGCGCACGTATGTTCATTACTGCACTGTTTACAATAGCAAAGACTTGGAACCAACCCAAATGCCCATCAAGGATAGACTGGATAAAGAAAATGTGGCAGATATACACCACAGAATACTATGCAGCCATAAAGAAGGAGGAGTTCATGTCCTTTGCAGGGACATGGATGAATCTGGAAACCATCATTCTCAGCAAACTGACACAAGAACAGAAAACCAAACACTGCATGTTCTCACTCATAAGTGGGTGTTGAACAATGAGAACACATGGACACAGGGAGGGGAACATCACACACTGGGGTCTGTTGGGGGGTGGGAGGCTAAGGGAGCGATAGCAGGGGTGGGGAGCTTGGGAGGGATAACATTAGGAGAAATACCTAATGTAGGTGAAGGGGGGATGGAGGCAGCAAACCACCGTGGCATATGTATACCTATGTAGCAATCCTGCAAGATCTGCATATGTCCCCAGAACTTAAAGTATAATAATTAAAAAAAAAGAATGGCAGCCACGATAACCATGTTTTTAACTGGCTGATAGATGGCCATTATTGATTTGATTTGGTTCTAAAACGGAGGCTGAGAACCCCAAAACAAAAGGTCAGAGTTGGAGTCTCCTTCTCTATTCACTGTGTTTTGGTTTTTTTTTGGAGACAGAGTTTCGCTCTTGTTACCCAGGCTGGAGTGCAATGGTGTGATCTCAGCTTACAGCAACCTCCACCTCCCGGGTTCAAGTGAGTCTCCTGCCTCAGCCTCCTGAGTAGCTGGAATTACAGGCATGTGCCACCACGCCCAGCTACTTTGGTATTTTTGGTAGAGATGGGGTTTCTCCATGTTGGTCAGGCTGGTCTTGAACTCCTGGCCTCAGGTGATCTGCCTGCCTCGGCCTCCCAAAGGCTGGGATTACAGGCGTGAACCACCGTGCCCGGCCCTCTATTCACTGTTTTGATGAATGTTGTACCTTGGTGTCCTGGACAAGGTCCCCAATATGAAGTCACTACGTTGTCTGGGGTAAACACCCGGGGATCGTTGTCTCGCACTAGGAAAATTTAGGACATGGACACACATGAAGAGTTTGGCAGAGGAGGTTTAATAGGCAAAAGAAAGAGAAAGAAAGAAAGGAAAACAGCTCCCTATCCAGTGAGAGAAAGGGCACTTCGAGGGGAAAAGACCAACAGTGCTAGTCTTTATAACGCCACTAGGAGGTTATTCCTGTTTTCCAAATGGGGAAACTGAGGTAGAGAGAGATTCAGTCACTTGTCCAAAGTCACTGAGTGTGCAAATTAAGGAGCTGGGATTGGGACCCACGGCTGTCTTAGTCCAAAACTCTGGACTACGTAAATTACTAGACCCAGTGCGAAATGGAAAGGCCAGGCTCTTATTTAAGAATGATTAGGAATTTCAGCTGGGCACGGTGGCTCACATCTGTATTCCCAGTACTTTGAGGGGCTGAGGCAGGCAGATCACAAGGTCAGGAGATCGAGATCATCCTGGCTAACACAGTGAAACCCCATCTCTACTAAAAATACAGAAAATTAGCTGGGTGTGGTGGCATGTGCCTGTAATCCCAGCTACTCAGGAGGCTGAGGCAGGAGAATCCCTTGAGCCCAGGAGGCAGAGGTTGCAGTGAGCCGAGATGACATCACTGCACTATAGCCTGGGCGACAGAGAGAGACTCTGTCTAAAAAAACAAAAAGCCTGGTGCAGTGGCTCGCACCTGTAATTCCAGCACTTTGGGAGGCCGAGGTGGGTGGATCACCTGAGGTCGGGAGTTGAAGGCTAGCCTGGCCGACATGGTGAAACCCCCATCTCTACTAAAAATACAAATATTAACCAGAGGTGGTGGCACATGCCTATAGTCCCCGCTACTTGGAAGCCTGAGGCAGGAGAATTGTTTGAGCCCAGGAGGTGGAGATTGCAGTGAGCCAAGATTGTGCCGCTGCACTCCGGCCTGGCTGACAACAGTTAGATTCTGTCTCAAAACAAACAAACAAACAAAAGTAACATCATTCTGTTGCATAGATTTTGGAAAACAGACAAAAGGAGGAACGAAATACACCTTGAACCCTACCTGTCTAACCCATTTCTGTTAGCAGGTGGTGCGTTTTCTTTTTTTTACAGAGAGCTTTGTGTCAGGATCCTCAGGATGCCAGAGGCTGCCTCTGCTTTTCCCCAGTGCCTGGCCGGCGGCAGGGACTCTGGGAACCAGAGAAGAATGTCAGCCTGGGTGGATGTTATAAAGAGGCTTGGCTTGGCTGACCTCTCGGATTCTTCTGGACTCTGAAAAACTCAGGATTCTTAGATTCACAGCAAATGCCTGGCATCGACCTGCAGTTCAATCCCAATGTGCCAGGCCCTTGCCAGTCCCAGAAGTGACTGAGAATGGCCCCAGCCCCAGTGGATCTTGGTTTAGGCAGTCATGGGTATCCCCAAACGTTCCACACTTTGGCAAATAAAGCAGGGGCTCCTTTTTAAAAAAGATCTTTATAAAAAATCAAATCAACACGAAACTGGAATACAAAATTAATACAACTGAGGATCTGTCTCAAATCCTGTGTTTTTAGCTATTGATTCTACAGTCCTAGAACCTTTTTTTTTTTTAAGAGACACATTTTACTTTGTTAACGAGGCTGGAGTACAGTGGTGCCCTCAAAGCTCACTGCAGCCACCAACTCCTGGGCTCAAGTAATCCTCCTGACTCAGCCTCCCCTTCCAGAGTGGGTGCAACTATGGGCGCATGACCCCACACCCAGCTAATTTTTAAAGTTTTGTGGAGATGGGGTGCTGCTTTCTTGCCCAGGCTGGTCTTGAACTGCTGGCTTCAAGCAATCATCCCACCTCCGTCTCCCAAAGTGAGGTGATTGTAGGCATGAGCCACTGTGCCCAGCCTGCAACTAACCCTATGGTTATCAATAGTCCCCCACTTAGTTAACTGTCTCAGGTATTACAATAGCCTTTCTTATATGTATCAAAACTCATACAGAACAGTAAGTTCTCAGATGGAAAAGAGGATTTTTTTTTGCATCTATCTATAAGTGTTTGTCCACAAGTTAAAAAATAAAACATAAGTGCATAGGGGCTGTGGTTCATGGCATATCTCATTTACTCCCTCACTCTGTATTTTTTCCTTTTTTCTTTTTTTTAGACAGAGTCTTGCTCTGTTGCCCAGGCTAGAGTCTAGAGTTTAACGGCGTGATCTTGGCTCACTGTCACCTCCACCTCCCGGGTTCAAGCAATTCTTCTGCTTCAGCCTCCTGAGTAGCTGGGACTACAGGTGCGCACCATCACGCCCGGCTAACTTTTGTATTTTTTCTTTTAGTAGAGACAGGGTTTTTACCATGTTGGCCAGTATGATTTTGAACTCCTGACCTCGTGATCCACCTGCCTCGGCCTCCCAAAGTGCTGGGCAGGCATGAGCCACCGTCCGTGGCCATTTACTCCCTCACTGTCTCAGCACCTGTTGAGCATCCATTGCCCTCTAAGCATTGCACACATACAGTAGTGACTATTTTCTTTGGGGAGAAGATGGGGGTGGTAGAAAGTGTGTGTACTTGCAGTCAGGCACTCTTGGCCTCATCCCTTCCTGGCTGTGTGTCCTTGACCCACATTACCTAACCTCTCTGAGCATCCACCACTTCCTTTGTAAACCAGAGTCATATCTGCTGTGAGGATTAACTTGGTAATACATGTGAAACCCTTGTAACTAGAAGATGCTCAGTATAGATTCCAATTCCAACGATCACAACCACCATTTACCTATTAGGTTGTGTGCCAGGCAGAAGGGGTTTTGCACGCGTTATCGGTGAATTCTCCAATGGCCCTATGAAGTAGGTAACATTGTCAACTTGTTTTGATCCAGTTTCAACAACCAGAAGGAGGCCTACCACCACCACCACAATGTACCATTTGTGGGATAATTTGTCCTTTTTTAATCTTTTCTTTTTACTTGTTTTCGAGACAGGGTCTTGCTCTGTCACCCAGGCTGGAGTGCAGTGGTTCAATCTCGGTCCACTGCCACCTCTGCCTCCCAGGCTCAGGAGATCCTTCCACCTCAGCCACTCAAGTAGCTGGGACCACTGGCTAATTTTTGTATTTTTTGTAGAGATGGGATTTCACCATGTTACCTGGGCTGGTCTTGAACTCCTGGGCTCAAGCAATCTGCCCGCCTCGGCCTCTCAATATGTTGGGATAACAGGTGTGAGCCACGGTGCCCAGGGAAATTTGTCTTTTAGAGTCAGATGCCAGAGCATCCCCTCCTAGGCTGGGAGGTTGCTAGTGTAAAAGCCAACACTTTATTTGCTGAAGCGGCTTACAAAAAAAAAGGATTTCAGGCTGAAACTGGACTCTTAACAAGGGTACTTCAGGATTCATGGTTTCCATTTAAAGGTGAAATATGGTGACTATGATCTGCGGGAGAGAAACACACCTTGTGTCACCTCAATGGCCTCTGGAGCAAGAAGTGGTTCCGATTTCCCAGGGGCTGGAGGCTTCATCCCCAATGCATCTGCTTTCTTGCTGAGACCACAAGGGAGATCACGACGCATCTTCACCTGGCTTCTTTCTGCTTCTGGGTGGGAGATACAGCTCTGGGAAAGGTTTCAGATGAGGAGGGATAAGTTCTTCTCTGGCTTCATCACTTTTTAGATGTACCTGTGAGCAAATTACTTCCTCTCTGTGGGCCTGTTTTTCATGAACTGAGGATAATGCCAACAAGGCAGTAAATAGAAGGGTTCCAAGGTAGTCCAAAGAGTCCAAGAAAGTTAGAAGGAAAAGGACTCTCCTCTACCTTTTTTTTTCTTTGTTGAGATGGAGTCTCACTCTGTTGCCCAGGCTGGAATGCAGTGGCACGATCTTGGCTCACAGCAACCTCCGCCTCCCAGGTTCAAGTGATTCTCCTGCTTCACCCTCCCAAGTAGCTAGGATTAGAGGCACCTGTCACCCTGCCCAGCTAATTTTTGTATTTTTAGTAGAGACGGCATTTCCCATGTTGGCCAGGCTGGTCTTGAGCTCCTGACTTCAAGTGATCTGCCCACCACGGCCTCCCAAAGTGCTGGGATTACAGGTGTGAGCCCAGCCCTCTCACCTCTTTTGAGATTTGCAGCACAGATCACAGTGTCCACGGGATTCCTTATATAAAGCACAAAAAAAGGTATGTGATAACCATAACTTGGTTTTAGGAGGCAGGGATGCGTGGGTGAGTGGTTTCCTGGGTAGAGCTCACTTTGTGCACTATTGGTGGAGCTCTCCTTTAGAAAGGGCTTCTTTACCATAAAATGAATACCCCTAAGTTCCACATCATCCTCCGTGCTGCCTTTGGAGCCTCTCCCAAACATCTTGCCAAGAGGGGCTTCCCCAGGCATAAACAAGCATGAGGATCCTCCCCAGCAAAACCACCTCCCCTGTAGGTGTGAGCTGGGATCACACCCAACTGTGAGATAGTGACTCCGAGAAGGAAATCAGGGCAAAAGCAACCAATTACAGGAACATTGTCCTGGGCCCTGAGCAAGTAAGTATCGGATGAGTTTTGGGAACACCCATATTCTGTCAGGGTGGTATGGGCGTTGTCTCCAGAAAGCATGTGTGCAATGTGATTGTAACCAGCAAAGCGTGAGCCTACTCTGTTGCATCACATTCTTATTTTGGTGGTTTCTAAACTTGGCCATCAGAATTCCCAGGGAATCACAGAAACATACAGATTGCTGGGGCCCATCCTCACCCATTCATGGCTGGAACCCAAAGAGAACTTTTTAGCTATCTGCCTTGTCAGGGAACAGTGTCTTGAACTATGACCCTCAGTGATTTGTTTTTAAAATGTTTTACAGAGAAAGGGCTGCATTATAGCTTAACACTATTAGAAGCACCCCACAGCCAGGCTTGGTGGCTCACACCTATAATCCCAGCACTTTGGGAGGCTGAGGTGTGCGGATCACCTGAGGGCAGGAGCTCGAGACCAGCCTAACTAACATGGAGAAACCCTGTCTCTACTAAAAATACAAAATTAGCTGGGCATGGTGGTGCGTGCTTGTAGTCCCAGCTACTCAGGAGGCTGAGGCGAGAGAATCGCTTAGGAACCCGGGAGGCAGAGGCTGCAGTGAGCTGAGATCTCACCATTGCACTACAGCCTGGGCAACAAGATTGAAGCTGTATCAAAAGAAAAAAAAAAAAAAGCAGCAGCTTCCTGCTAAACTTTTAATACTCAATAAGCAATTCTTAACCAAAATTTGGCACCCCATACAGATTTTCCTAGAAGGGCTCAGCACATGGCCCATGCCTGTAATCTCAACACTTTGGGAAGCTGAGGCAGGATTGCTTGAGCCCAGGAAATCAACACTTCAGAGTCACAACTGTGCCACTGCACTCCAGCCTGGTAACAGGGGTAGACCCTGTCTCAAAAATAGACTTATCTAGAAAGACTAAATGTGCTAATCAGCATGTGAGTAATCTAGTCTGGTTGACACATTCTTTTGGTAAAGTAATAAACTTACATTCTGGTTTATTCATCAATCTTTTTGAGTTCATTTGAGAGACAGAGCAAGTCTAGATGAACTGAGCAAAATACTTCCTAGATGTGCAGGCACGGGAATTTAGGATCATGCCCAGGTGCTTGCGACAGTCAGTGCTCACCACATACATGTGCCCCATACATTTCCCAGTCTCCCTGGCTGTTGCAGTGGGACCCTGTGACTGGGTCTCGCCCACTGGAAAGCAAGTAGAAATGACATGTCACATCCAGACAGACGAGCCTCAGAGTAGCTGTGAGTCCTCCCTGACTACACAGCAGAAAGTAAAGAACTCTAAGGCGGCAAGATTTTAAGATGGAAGTCAAAGTGGCTCACACCTATAATCCCAGCACTTTGGGAGGCAAAGGTGGGAGGATCACTTGAAGACAGGCTAAAAGACCAGCCTGGGCAGCAAAGCGGGACTTCATCTCTGTAACAGATTTAAAAAATTAGCGAGGCAAGGTGGTGCACACCTGTAGTCCCAGCTACTGGGGAGGCTGAGGTGGGAGGAGCACTTTAGCCCAGGAATTCGAGGCTGCAGTGAGTCAGGACTGCACCATTGAACTCCAGCCTGGGCAACAGAGCCAGACGCACTCTCAATAACATTTAAAAAAAAAAAAAAAAAAATGGAAGCGGCTCTGCTCACTGAATCTCCAAGGGAGGAGAGCCACCAAAAGCTGCCTGGTGTGCAGTGGGCTGAGACATGAGCATGTTCCTGGAAAATCAGTAGTACTTAGCCTCCAGAGTCCTCCTCTCCCGCTTGGACTGGTGGGAGCAGATTAGACGTTCTCTAGCACACATCTCTGGCTTTGCACTTCCTACTTGCACGGGAAGAGAAGCCACCCGAAGTCCAAACCCCTTCCTGGTGGGTAACTTTTTTTTTGGCACACAAAGGACCACCCACAAGTGGGCCTGCTCTTGCTTACTGACAAAATTAGGTAGAAAACAGACTAGTCCTGGGAGGAGCTAACATTTCTTCTTGTGGTCCTTTCTTTGATGTAACTTGTCCAGGTTTTCTAGCAAAGAACTTAACACATAATAGGTGCTAAGTTAATAATAAAGAGTGGCCGTGACAATGACGATGATGACGATGTATCAGACTGTCTTGGCAAGGGCTGAGGAAGCAGTTTCCTTTTATATAAACTCATGGTCATCAGATATTTATAAAGAAAAAGTTTATTTTCATCACAAGAAGCACACACACTATATACAACACACACCAACAGAAGTAAAAAAAAAAAGTGCATTCTGCATCTTCTACTGCAAATTCACAGTACAAAAGATACTGCCTTTTAAATATATTATTAAAAAACAAGAAAACCAATAAAAAAATCATTGATATCATAACGCAATACATGGGAACCCACTGGCAGCTTCTGAAAAACCAAACGACTCATCGTGTGGAGCTCCTGATTGGGGGGGGGGACTGGTCTGTACCTACATTTTGTTGCAAAAGAGCTCAGGACAGTAACAGAGAGGAAAACTAGGGTGGCCTAGGTGGAAATAAAATCTCGAAGAAAGAAGAGTACAATTGTGTGGCTGGGGAACAGGCAGGTGCTGGGCTCTGGAGCAG